GTATATACCGATTTATGGACTGTTTACCAAATTACTTAGAAGCATTACGTAAACAACTCCAAAACTTTTCTTCTTGCCGAAAGAGGTGCTGGTACCAAACTTTACGTTTCTAAGTATTAATTTATAGGATACTCATGATAGATTGGCGCTTACACATATGTTAGTGTTTGGCCGAGCTTCTCATGATACTCATATTTTACTTTAGAAATATTGTGTAGTGCAATTCAAGGTCATTGTGCACTAGGGTGGTCCAAAAATACATGTGAAAAAGTAAATTCGAAATTTTTATGCCCTCACCCCCTAGGATTGTTCTATGCCGAAAAAATAACCCCTATTTTTTATTTTGAAATCAAAAAATATTTTGAGGTCGCTCAAAGCGCACAAAGTTTTTCATGTATTTTATATGGGGGAAAAAACAACTTTTCATAGAAATATATAGAATGGCTAAAAATCAATATTTTCCTACCAGAAAGCTCTGTTTAACTGCAGGAGATTCCCAATAATAATACCCAATTCTTTATTTACAAATTTTTACATTGCAACTATAATTTATAGGTCCGTCAAAAACCCACAAAAACCCCGAAAATGCAATGGGGAGATCAATAAAAAATCGTTAGTATTAAAAGATGGTTAAATAAACAGTGGAGTATTATTATTAAAAGTCTCCTGAAAAGAACCAGGGTTTTCCGATCGAAAAATATTGACTTTCTAGAATTCAATGCCATTTCTACGAAAAAAAAATGTATTTCTCCCATATAAAATTACATGAAAAACTTTGAGCGCTTTGAGCGACCTCTAAATATTTTTTGATTTCAAAATAAAAAAGGGGTATACTTTTTTCGATATAGAGCAATCCTAGGGGGTAAGAGCATTACAATTCCGACTTTACTGTTTTTGGACCACCCTATTGTGTACCCTGTATTAGTTACAGTAGAAAATTGGAAATATCTATATGGGTATTACAAATATGAAAAGGAAAAAACTTAGGGGTGCCACGTTTTCTAGGATGATGTTTTTTCACCACATACAAATATTGGACCCGTTTAATGTAAATATGTATGTATCTTCATGTTTCTAATATTTTTTGGTAGTTTTAATATATAAAATTTTTTTTGTTAGAAGATATTTTTTTTTATTTCTTTATGCTGATTCTCTTTTATCAAAAAAAGCTTAACTCAAATTACATTGCGACTTTAAAAAAATACTTATTTGCCAGTTTGGCAGCAAAAGCAAGTCAGCACTAGAATGAGCAAAACACTTTGACAACTATTCACACAAATATATATGTACATAGGTAACCGCAGTGACAAGCAAAATGCATTGAATGCTTGTATGGTTGGACATGTTAGTGTGTGTTAGTGCCTCAGCATATTGCGGTTGACAAGAAACCATTTATCGTTGACTACCAGCATACGAGCGCCCTCCGCTGTGCTTTGAAGCGCTTTTGACAATGCATGTGTAAGCGTTGTATGTGTGTGCATGTGTATCATCAAGTGCACTCGTCAGCTGTCGACACACCACGGCAAATAATTCAACAAAACACACACACACATTTAGCTTCAATACTAATATACATTTATAGTATGTATGTATATATATTTAGTACAAACTTCTCAATGCATGTATTTCGTTATTTATTAACACACTTACTTGAATTTATTTACAGTGCATTTATGTGTCATATGCTGCTTGCTCGTGCATTTTATGCAACGTTGGAAGGAAGTGAAATAGCATTTATGTCGGCAATGAGATTTAAAAAAATTATATTTGTGCGCAAATAAACTTCGAAATTCTTTATTGTGATAATCATATTTGATATTTGTTGAGTTTAGTTAGAATCATTGAAAGCAGAGTAAATACATAAAGTGAAAGTGTAGTGAGTCAATTACACATACATACAAAGTATATAAATCAAAAATCTGTTGGCTGCTTTTGCTGCTGCTGCTCGAAAAGTAGTCTAGCAACAAAACGCGCAAAGCAACATGTTGACAACACATCATTTGGCACATTTGCATCATCATCGGGGCAGCACAGCGGTGGAGTTGGATAAAATCACAAATCTAAATACGGTAAGTGGATTTACATATTTATTTTAGAATAAATGTTCTAGATACATATATAGTTAGCTATACACATATAGAATAGTAGATTATATTATGAAGGTAGCATTATTGAGACTTTTGTATGGGTCTTATTCAGATTGTAATACTAGAAGGAGATAACAAGGTGATAGCGAACCATGACATATGAGTAAAATACTGTATATTTTGTATTCACTAAAGGAGACAATTTTTCATTGCCATTGCCAAATCCACCAACATTTTTAAATTTTATATTTATTTAATAAATTAAATTACAAACAAAAATAATTTGCTGTAACCAAACCTCTCTCAAAGAGCAAGTTTTGCTTTCCGTATAGCATCGTTGCTGTTCTAGAGCGCTGATCTATGCTCTTCTCGAAAGTTGCAGATAATCTGGAATTTTAAAGGAATCTCTTTTAGTATTTTGAAGTTTTTTATGATTTTTAAATTGCTCGATGTTTTGATATAACAATATATTTAAGGCCATTTCTAAGTGTTTGTTGGATACTAATACGCGCCAGAACCTATTAAAAGCATTGAAGGAATACTCCCAGCAACCTACAGTTGCGACAGAAGATTTTCAAATGGAAATTTTAGTTACGTAGAATTCAAAATGGAAAATTAAAAAAAGTCCTACGGGAACAAGGCCCTGATGGTATTTAAAATTCGATATGATTGTATTCCAGCTTATCTTCATTTTGTGTTTTAAAATGTCTTTATATTTACACTTCTTGGCCAAAAACCGCAATCTATTTGCATGAAGGGTTGCAATGCTTATTTTCAGTGACCCATAGTAAATTTTAACGAATAACGGTTATTGTCTACTTAAGTAGGTATACAGGGCGTATGAGCAACTTTTCAAAATATTACTTTTCGGACGATTTCTCCTTATTTGGAATGAATGTCCATATTTTAGATCTGGACCAATCTGGACTTATTTATGAAATACAGTATGGCTGAGTAGTTAGAGGTGGTTGGTACCACGCCGTAGGACTTGATCCGTTGTCCGGGCAACATATAAATTTGAAATAGTTTTTTATGACTGCCCTTCGGCATACAATAGTGTATTTATTCCAGGAAAGAGCTTCTCATTAAATCCATCATCCATTTGGAGGCGGAGTAAAACTGTAGGTCCCTACGTTTGTATAAAAATCAAGACACACCCCACTAATTCGATTATAGGTTCGGATACACACTAAGCAAAAGTGTAAGCGCCAAAATATTATTATTAGATATATAAAATCAAGAGTAAATGAAATAAATTTATAGACTTTTAGGTACATAAGACAGAGACTCAAACGAATGACCACGTGTTGATTTTCTTCAAATATTCGTAATGTTTTTCGAGCAATTTTTTTGTTATTTTTATGTAAAAATATCGTCTAAGCTTTAGCCAAAACCTTGTAAATCACAGTTTCAAACTTTATAAAAAATTCAGGAAAACTCAACAAATTTTCATTAAAATTTAAACTTTTTATTCTGAATTGTTAGAAAATTTTTGGGTATGCAGTTTTATAGCCCATATAATTTTAATTTAATGAAGTGCAAGTTTCAAATGGCTAAAAATCGCGTTGATTTTTGAGAATTTCTTTTTGGTGACGGATTTTTACACTTTTTTTCACATAACTATGAATTTCTTATGAGATAAACCGCGCGAGACCGTCAGCAACAAAATTTTAAAATATCAACGCAAATATTTGTAAATTACGCTTGATATATTTAAAAAAAAAAACCAAAAAAGTAGCCTAAAAAAAATTATCAAAAATCAACGCGATTTTTTTGCTGCATCCCATAAAAATTTTCTAAAATTTCAGAATAAAAAGTTAAAATTTTTATGAAAATTTGTTGAATTTTCCTAAATTTCATAATAAGTTTGAAATTGTGATTTACACGGTGATAAGACGATATTTTTATACAAAAATAACAAAAAAATTTAGCTGGAAGGTATTACGAATATTTAAAAAAAAACAAGACGTGGTCATTTGTTTGAGTCACTGTAAATTTTTGGCCCCTAAGCTAGCTAATCCCGCTAGAAAAAAGCCAGGTATAAATGATTTTTTCCACATTTTTTTGAATTTTTTTATTATTTTTGTACGTACATAACACTGCCTATGAAAATTTTCCTTCGCTAATTAAGTTCTAAAAAAATACGTGAAGAGGTTTTATTTTTTTCATAGCTTGAAGGCAGAGAAATTAATTTAATCAAGAAGTGTATTATGCAAAATATAAATATGTACTTATACATACAGACATATCTATACATACATCGCAGTCACTTTACATTTTTAATGGTTCAGCGCGATAAAAAATTGAGGAATAAATTTTTTTTAAAAGTGCACAAGACACTCATGTAATCATCAGTACACGCATACATACATACGTACGAGTACAAGCGGCAGTAACACACATAGCCAAACACAAGTGCCATACAAAATATAACAAAGTTATGACATATGCCACAACCGCTGTCACAGCCGTTACCGCTTCCTGTGACTGCTGCTTCTTTGGTAAAACAATTCAAGTCGAGTAAAGTCGTGAACTGCGCAGTTCAGAATTGGGCTGCCAGCACATCTACATATTTGAGTATGTGTTTTTACACACATGCCCTCACATATGTACATACGCATGTGGATAACCATTTATTTTTAGGCATGCTACGTACTGTGTTTGTACCGATTTCGCGACATATTTATCGCAATAAAAAATCTTTAGAACAAATATCACTGAGTGGCAGCAGGCAGACAATCAGTCAGCCAGCCCATGGCGTTAGCTTATAGCGCCCATCCGCATTTTACATCGCTGAGTGCATGGTAATCGATATAGTCATAGTTGTCAGCCATAAAGCTCCACTGCTCTTCTGCTGATTGACGTGCCTTCGATGGCCTGACAGCCCCTGAAGATGATTGAAGAGTAAGCAATTTTTTAAAAATGGAATGAAGAAACGAAATGCGTAGTAAGGCAGTGAGGAAACAATCAAAATGTAAAGCTTTTCTAAGGGACGGCAAAAAACAAAACAAAAGAAATTCAAATGAAATGTGCCAAAATCTTTCGCTGAACGATGACACGTACAAATTTACTAATATGTAAGGCTCTATGACTTCTAAAAATACATATGAAGCCGTGAGAGCATAAGTGGCCTAAATCAATGTTTTTTTTTGGCATTTAGCTACTTAAATATAATAAATTTTAAAATAAAAGTCGCTTATTTCTTTATTTTATGGTAAAATACAACATAGCGTATCATCAAATTAAGGAATAAGTGACCTTTATTTTAAAATGTATCACATTTGAACCGCTTTTAAGAAGTTAATCATGAAAAAAATGTGGGTTAGGCCACTTCTGCCTTCATGGCCTCAAATATCAGAAGGGAGCACGCATGTACGTGAGCTTCCATCCTTTCGAGTATGCCTCCTTGTCCTCAAAAATGTGTTTTATCCATTAAATCTTTAATCTGACCTCAAACTTTGGGCTAATTGATTCCTCTCTAATTAGTATCGAATTCAGTTTTCGCCAATGTAAAGTCGGAAATGTTCCTTTTTAAATATTTAAAAAGTCTAATACATGCTCCCCCATAACCCATAGTTCTGCGGTTTGTGAATTTCCAAAACTCTCATTATTTTGTAGTAGCTTCAATATCTTAACTTTACTGCCTGCAAACGAGCTACATGGGGCACCATTCAAAAGTCGTTCAAATCTCATAAAAATGACGATGCTATGCAGTGGAATAAAACAACAAATATCGTTCCCAAGCAGGACGGATGAGGGCATTGCCATTGATGGCTGCCATAATTGAAGAAGCGAGTAATTCTATTGGAAGAGTAAAGCAAATATAAAAGAGAGAGGCAAATTGACGAAAAGTTGGATGAAGACGCTAGAATACGTAAGAGAGGAAATTTCAGCACTGTGTACGCTGGATTCATGTTTATATGGGCTGACGGTAAGGCAGTTTTAGAAGTGTGTGCTGTTAAGCCATTCATTGTTTCTGCATTCAGACTCTCGCTCTTGTGTGTGTGTAAATTTGAGCCATCATACCGCTTCAATGAAGCATACAGCCGGCGACCTAAACTGAATACCTAAGTAATTGAAAGAGCGTTAAAACAAAAAAAAAATATCAACAAAGTTGGCAAGGCCTTAATGAAAGCGGAAATTGTCGATTATTCCAAACGGATATTGTGGGCACTCACACTTCAGTCAGCATTAGTAATCAGCCAGCGAGTTCCAAACGCTAAAACTTTAAAATTACTGTGACGCGATTATGGTGCAAATAGTTATGGAGGGTTATTCTTGTTGTTACCTTCGTTTTGTTTTCATAACATTTTCTTTCTATTGTGCACTTTCTGAGCAGCTGCTAATCGCTTCAGCGCCCTTGAATGCCAACAGAGACATTTTATTTCTAAATGATTGCTCATTAATTTGCTGAAACGTTGGTCGGCGGTGGTGGGACTTTTATGACGTCGGCTAAATAGCGGTGTTATGGATGGAATGTCAAAGGGCCCTGAAGTTCAAGGTTAGGTTTATTGTTTGAATTGAATTGTAGTGTATTTTTATGTTGGCAAATGCTTTCACTTTATTACAAACTGTTTAACATTATTATTTCAATAGAAAAACAGATTTGAATTATTTATTCAATGACTTGGTATGGCTAATTTTTTAATTGTACTAGCACTTGGTCTTCGACGACAGATCTTTTTGCTAGCATTTTGTTAACCCTATGGTCAATTACCAGGCACGTGGGTATCTGTTTTGAGCTTAAATTGCTGGAAGCTCTTCAGCAACGTACTCTTAACTTTTTTAATGTTTAAAGTAGTCTCAAGCTTATTACATACGAGAGTCAATGTACCTTAATGCAATCTGTATATGCTTGGCACCTAACCACTTTTTAAAAGCATTTTTTTTTTTAATAAAACAAATATGCAGTTTACATCGGGAACCGGGTCATTTAACATAAAGTTAAAACTGACAAATCTTTATTTTTGGTCTTAAAATAT